AATTTATGTAATTTTGACATCGTTTCCATTAATTTGTGATACGATGCATTTTCTTGATCAAACAGCACTTTTTTTTTCAAATAAGGCCGTTTTTCCCGATTTCATCCTCCAAGCGCTCCAATAACGCTATGTAATAGTCGCCGTTGATGGTTTTTCCTTTTCGAAATAGTTGATTTATTATACCAAGCGCATCCCAAAATACTGATACCATAACCTTGCCAGCAAACTGTTGCGTCTTTACACGATTTGTAGTCGATTCACCATGTGCAGAAAAGCTCCATCACTTGTGCACCTCCACGGAGGGAACCCCAAGAAGGTTGAAGAAGCCGCGCAACGACAGTAATATCGAATTTCACTAGTTCGGACTTCTATTGTCTACTATATAAAATGATTTGAAATCCCTGAAACAACTAAAAATAAAAAAATTGAAAATGAATAGCTGAAAATAACAATTATATTAACCAAAATAAACCTGAAATGAAATAATAGTGAAATAAAATACAGGAAAAAATAGAACAATTGAATAAATAAAAATAAAGAAATGAAACGAGAAAATAAAAATAAAATGTGGAGAGATTCCAAGTCACGTTAGTTCACGACGTTTCGATTGTTAGTATCTACAATCGTCTTCGGGTGATGACTGGACTGATTCCTCCGAGAGATGACTATTTATAGGTCGTTCGAGTACTTTCACTTATCCCCGCTTTCCATTTTCCGCTTCACTGGTTCCATGGGAGATGACCGTTTTGGCAGGAGTTGGTCATTTTTCGCTTGATGATGGGTTTCCATATGTTGCGTATTTCTACGCTGGCTTGACTGAATACGTTGTTGGACAACATGTATGCGGCTTCCTTGAATTTTCTCCTAAACCAATGTTCCTCTCTGTGCAAGATCTCAGCTTGGGACCACTCGATGTTGTGTTGATGGGTCCAAACATGGTCTGGTATTCCTGATTTGCTGGTTTCCCCTCGCTGTGTGTGTTTCTTGTGCTCGGCAATGCGAACATTCAATGACCTCTTAGTTTCACCAATATAGGATTTTCCGCACTCACAGGGTATCCGGTAAATGCAATTCTTGGAATCGCAGTCCGCGTTTGGTGGCCTGGTTTTCGTGAGGCTGCTACGGATAGTGTTACCGGATCTGAAGCAGGTTCTGATGTTGTACTTGGAACCAATTCTTCTTATCCTCTCCGATAATCCTCTGATGTAGGGAAGTGCAAGCACTGGTTGTGACGGCTTCTCTTCCTTGCTAGGCTCCTGCTGTCTTCTAGCCAAAGTCTTTTTTACCATCGCTTTGGAGTAGCCATTCCGTTGAAGATCATTTTTGATGATGTCTAGATCCTTCTCGAGACCTTCCTTCGTATTACAAAGCCCAAAAGCACGGTCTAATAGACTCTTGATGATTCTTTTTTCAGTCGATTGATGATGGTTGGATTCGTGGTTCAGATACAGTCCCGTATGAGTGGGTTTTCGGTATACAGATGTTTCCCACTTAGTGTCGGTCTTCTTCACCAAAACGTCTAAGAATGGCAATTGGTTGTGGATTTCCTTCTCCATTGTGAAATTGATGGAAGGTCTCACGCTGTTGATGTGTTTCAGGAAGGCGTCTAGTTCAGTATTCCCATGGTTCCATATTATGAAGGTGTCGTCAACATATCTCAACCAGACTCGAGGTTTCTTGTGGACTTCTTCAATGAACAGAGTTTCAAACCACTCCATATATATGTTGGCTATGACTGGTGAAAGTGGCGATCCCATTGCAGTCCCTCATCTTGTGTAAAGAATTCGTCCTTCAGTTGGAAATAACAGTTTCGTACACAGCATCCTAGTAATTCCATGATTACTTCTATAGGTAGATTCGTTCTCTCTTTCAGGTTCCCGTCTTCGAATAGCTTTCTCTGTATGATTTGGAGTGCTTCTTCGACCGGAACGTTGGTGTAAAGGCTTTCCACGTCGAAACTAATTAGTTGATCTTTCTGTGTGACCTCAATTGACCCAAGTAGTTCGACAAAATGCCTTGAATTCTTCATAAAAGACGATATTTTTCCTTGTAATGGTTGTATTAAGGGAAGTAAAAATCTAGACAAGTTTTGAGAAGCCGAATCTCTGGAGCTGATGATCGGTCTAAGCGGAACGTCCTTCTTGTGGATTTTGGGTAGTCCATATAAGTGAGGGGGCTTACTGTGGTGCGGTGTTAGCGATGATCTTTCCTTGTCCGAAAAATAGACTTGGTGTTTTTTCAAAATCTGGTACAACTTCCTTTCGATTGATGCAGTAGGGTCACGTACGATCTTTGTGTATCGTCCCTTCTGAAGAACCTCTTCGATCAATAAGGGAACTGGTGGATTTCACTGCAGTAATTATCTCCAAAGTGGGCACAGATGTTGGCCCACAGATGTTGGTCCTCTATTCCCGTGAGCGGGCGGGAACACATGTTGATGACGTTGGCGGCTTCATAGTTGTCCTGTTTTCGGTTTGTATTTGGGCATTGTTTCCTCACTAACTTCCCCCACTTTCTGTTGTGAGTAGACAATGGAAGTCCGAACTAGTGAAATTCATCATAAAACATTGTCAATCACCTTCAAACAGACAGTAATATCGCTGCACCTTCCAAAACCTTCGCGGAGGCATCCGTGAGACACCTCAAATTTGCCAAAAAGAGTGTGTGTTCGGTTAGTCTTGGCCTACACCTGCCGATATAAAGGAGATGTATCCTTTATATCCTCTACAAATACCAGATACAAGATACCATGTGCAGTCCACTCAAATGAAGATCGTTTTGATTCTGGTGTGAAATGAAGGAGCCATGTTTTATCCGTTGTCACATATCGGTCTTAAATTCGGATTTTTTATGCTCAGAATCATCAATTTGTTTTTGTTTTTGGTTGATTGTAGGCTCGCGCGGCACTCACTTTGAATGGAACTTCCGCATACCTAAATATTCATGCACGATATGTCCTACACGTTCCTTTGTAGCCTCAGCTACCTCGAGCAACTTCACTTTGCGGTCATCCAAAATTATTTTGGGGACTTTTTTGATGTTCTGGTAGCAGATTCTTCGTGAGATACTTACTTACTAACTTACTTTAAGAGATAATCGACCGTTTCCATACAAATCAGCGATTCTGTAGGTATATGTTCATCTACATGTTATATTAGAAAAATAACATACATTCACGCTACAATATAAACTGAATTATTCTGTTATTTCATCCAGCGAATCAATTTGTGACATTATCCATTGCTACATCAATGTCTCGGTGGACATCCAGAAAAGCAAACTCGGTAAGTCTGTGATTTTTTTTCTGACAAAGACATACCAAAAGGTGCATATTAGAACTGCTTCGACGATTGTTAATAACGCTGGCACAAGTGTAATATATCTGAGAGGGACCACTTTGAAGAAGACAAAATAGAAACTGATAAATACATAAATACTATTCGAGAAAAATGAAAATTCATTTTATTTTTGCTCCATACAATATGGCGGATCAAACCAGATGGCGGGTATCAAATGAATGGGTTTGTATGAAATATGAAATAATATGATGGGCCTCTCTAGTTGTTCTTTACACTTTCATGATATTAGTATTTATTCGAAGGGTTTACAGAAAAGAATAGGAAAATTATATGACGTCATTCTTTATTAAATATGGCGGAACGCCTAAGATCGCAGACTACTATAGTTGTTTTTTATACACATCCATGATATGGTTGTCCATGATATGGTTTGCTGAAAAGAATACGAGAAACAAAATCATATCACTCTAATTCCCATATGGTGGACTCTCAAAGATGAAGAACTATGTTTTTTATGACCCTTCATTCATTGAAATGAATCAAAGTGAATTTTGAATGCATATTTTTCTTGGTATTATACTTATCGTGTTTGCAGATTTTTTAAATGAGTATTAAACTGGTAATTACTCAGAAATGGCAGAGCTGAATTTTGAAATTGGTATTTTCGAAACATTCACAGATCTGCGATTTGATTGTTACTCGCCGGAATGAGTGAATAGAAGCTCATTTGCATTTCGACCGTTAATATATATGAATGCTCACGAATAATCGTAGCATGAACACAAGAATACAGGATTTCAAAATCGTTCGTACAAATGACTCGCAGAACTACGTATACCCAAAACTACGAGTGATTTAAGAATACTCGCATTTTAGAGAGAAGCTGGAACCTTAGATTACATATCACTCCTTATGTAATCTGTGGTAAAACCTCAACATTTTTTGGGTAGTGTGGGAGTATTGTTGTTCTTCAGCTGGGTAATATATTTTCAAATGTGATTTTCAGTGTAACCTATTCTTTCTCTCTACTTCATGTCACTAACCAACAGATGCCACTGACATCTCAACTCGAACAAAATAAGGAACCCTTTCAACGGTAACTTATATTCGGCAACTAGAAGCCATATGATGTTTACTAATATGCATAGAAACATTTACTCTCTACCTAATCAATTTTCTCAGCATTTCCTTATGAAATGGTATTAAACGACTGGTTCAAGAAAAACCTAGTTCAATTCTCATTCGTAAAATGATACGTATAGGTACTATACCTTGATGTTTTTGTCCACACGAAAAGTAGGAAAACGTGCGGTGAAATTCATTGTTCTGGTAAAGGTAATTTTATTTTCTTTAATTCCTATTCACGAGATGGGCAGTGAAATTTTTGCTGCTGTGAAAAGAAGTGAATCAAGCTGTCTCCAGACACGTTTTCTGAGCGCTGTGTGACATGGAACAATAAATTATGATCTTTCCAAATTTGTTCACTTTGTGTTTCTTTCAATTTTCAACTTTCAACGCTCATCTCTCTTCTCATCTTAAACTGCAGAGTTTTGAGGTATTCTTGTTAAACTTTTTGAATTCCGAATAAGAACCATGGCCTCTATCTTGAGAAAAATTGTGAGTATCGAATTTTGTTGTATTATAGCGAACAAACATGTCAGAGGACATGTATACTTATCGATTTCTATTTAAATTAGTGTTCTTAGAAGTGAAGGTACATCAGAATGAACTTCTTTAAAAAATTGTTCAATTGGAAAACTGATACGAGCAGCGTGTCAAAGGTTATTGATAATTTATCTAAGGGTTCAGAAAACTCAATTGCGGAAGGTTTTAGATTAGTAAGTGATTATGTAATGAAATCGCGAACCTTTTCTAGGTTATGTCACATGCCAAATTCTTTGTTGTATGTTTTTAGACTACGTCCAATACATTAGGAAAAAGGCTTTATAGCGGTGAATTGAAGAAATGCACACTTATTCCAGGAGATGGTATCGGCCCAGAAATATCTGCTGCAGTACAAAAAATTTTCTCCACTGCTGGTGTACCCATTGAATGGGAGTCTGTAGATGTAACGCCCGTCAGGGTAAAGTAAAGCATTTCTTTTTATTAGCTATGAAGTAATTTCTTGTTCATATGTTCATTGATTGATTGAAAGGGTGTATAATTTTTAGGAGAGATTAGTTTTTGTGAAAGAAAGCGTTTTGTCTTTCTACTTCTCCGTCTTTAAACAAGATGAAGTTTCCCACGTTTTTGTATAAAGATGGAGTAATAATAAGCCGAAAAGCTTGTCTATGTTTATTGATATTTCAAAACCTGTAACAGGGCATTGAAGTTTTTCTATGAATTTCTATTGTGAGTGTAGACAAGGTCATTTCATCTTCTACACATTAATTTTTCTATACAACTTTTAATTTCATTAAAAGACATGCATGCTTTTCCGTTATTAAATTTTTCAACATGTAGTTTTTAATGAAGATCTCGGTGATTCTTATTTTCAACAAAAGTCGATACTTACATGTAACACTTCTACTCACACTTTCTAGAAATCTCAATTCTCAAATAAATGTGTGATTTCGTTCATAAATGTTACGCTTTCTTTTTGTAGTGGATATTAATGATTTTTAAGATACTTTTGCCTTGAAAACGAGTATGCTGATAATAACTCATTTGACAATATTAGGAGAAATCCATTTGCAATTGTAATTCAAGTTATGAAACAAGGTCACTGAGAAGTTGAGAATTTCCATTTATTTCTGGTTTAATTGGATAGCTCTTTTGGATTACTTTTTCATATTTTAATGTATTCAGAAATCACTTGTGTACTCATAGATTTTTTTGAAGAACATTTATCTGTTAGTAAACAGATCATTTTTCAGCTCATCCTACTATTTCTATCTCCGACATGGTTGACAGGTAAATTCGACAAACGTTACCTATTCGGCAGCGTAGGACAATGAGAATCTTTTTTCAGATTGAGGCTATCATTGGGTCATTTTGAAACATTGCTTCCTTCTCAAATAATATGGAAATGTTGCGGAGGAACTTCCTGTGCCATTTTATGTTTTAGATTATTCGTTATGAACTAATTTTCATTGTAACATTTCGTTTGTTAGATCCATATTTTGTTCATTGGAATCCATTAACTTTTTTTCAATAGGGATATCTAGTTTTTGTTATGTAATCTTTTAGTATATGTTGATTCATGCGGAAGGATAATAAACTTTGAATCCATGTCTTTTTTGAAAATTCAAAGATTTATAAAGATTCTTCTTGAATTTACGATTCCTAATTAACTTATCAATAATCACTGTTGATGGTTTTTCCATTTTCAAGAAAATCTATGAATATTATTCCATGCGCATCCCAAAATACTGATACCATAACCATAATTCATTATTGTATTTGGTTGATAGTGAGTTCGCACGGCACCCACTTTGAACAGAGCCTCCGCATACCCAAATATTCATGCACGATATGTCCTACACGTTCCTTTGAAATCTTTAGAGCCTCAGCTATTTGGACTTTTTTGATGTCTTCGTCTGTAACAGACTTTTTGGGGGTGCTCATTTCACCTCGTTTGAATTAGACAAACCCCTTCTCAACGGTTAATTTTCCTGGTGCCAAGTCCTAGTGATATTTATCAAAGCCATGCTTTGGCTTCAATAGTTTTTGTCGCCAAAAAGCAATTTTTTGTTGACACACGAATTTTTTTATCCATTTTCTTCAAATTAACAAAAGTTGCTCAAAATGTTCTATCAAACAAACTAATAGTCCGACAGTTGTGATATTTGTACCTGTGTTTTGAAGGTTAGGATTGAATGAAAATTATGAATTTATTCCCACTAGCGCCATCTGTTGGTTAGTCTACGAACTTTTCAGCTCATTGTTCCCAAATATAGGTAACTCTTGATTAATTTAACCAAAACCATGTAAACCTTACCATTTCCGAAATAGCGGTAGTAGGATCAACTAAGAAAATGTATATATTATCGATTCCCCTCGCTTGCATTTGTTGTACTTATATTCTTATGTGATTTTAGGGGCCGGACGGGAAGTTTGGAATTCCTCAAGCTGCCATAGATTCTGTCAATAAAAACAAAATTGGCCTCAAGGGCCCTCTCATGACTCCAGTGGGGAAGGGACACAGGTCTCTGAATCTTGCTTTGAGGAAAGAATTTAATCTGTATGCTAACGTACGGCCTTGTAGAAGCTTAGAAGGGTAAATATAAAAGCATATATTAGCGTCAGGGTTATATTTGTAATATTTTATTTCAGATATAAAACTTTGTATGATCACGTCGATGTTGTGACCATCCGTGAGAATACAGAGGGAGAATATTCAGGAATTGAACATGAAATTGTTGATGGTGTTGTTCAGAGTATAAAATTGATTACTGAAGACGCATCACGAAGAGTCGCTGAATTTGCGTTTCAATATGCTAAAGAGAACAACAGGAAGAAAGTTACAGCTGTACACAAAGCCAATATTATGTAAGTTTGGATGTGTGATTCAAAATTGTTATCCTTAGAAAGCATAAGACCTGAAAATGTATAATTTGGAAATGAAAGGCTTCTTACAAAAATAAATGTAAGAAAACGTGCGTAGAAAACATTATAAAACTATTGAATGTTTGAAAATACAACACGATAATCAAAAAATTAAGTGAATTCAGTTGTCTTGAGAAATATTTATTTGTTCACCAATTTCATTTTGTGTCATTCAAAGTAGTCCCCTTCAAATATACACTTGGGCCAGGTTTTTTTCCAATCCTAAAAGCAATCGTCGCAAAATGCCGTCTTTTCAAGGGTTTCTTCAATATTGAGAACAGGAAAAGTCACAGGAGACCAAATCTGGTGAATACAGTGGCTGAGGCATGATTAGTTGGTAAAAATGGCTGAAATTATCAAACGCTTCAAAAACAAATGATATACCCCAGAACTAGAACTAGCTATGCGAGTCTGAAATAAGTATATCGGTAATTTTGGTTAAATAATTAACTATGTTATATTTATTGTAATGACTTGAATTTTTTTCATAATTCAACATTTTGAACATACTGGACAGACCAATAGATGGATAGATAGATTCTTGTGATAGATCAATCTCCAGATATCAATAAATCTGGAATTTCCAGTTTATTTGTCGGCTCTTCCTTATCCTCCTCCAGTTTTTCCTCTTCTTGGCAATATGAAATAATTTTTGTCTCTAGCATTCTTATAAAGGATCCTCAGGCTCTGTTGAAATGTTTTTGTTATAGTTGAATTACTATTCATTCTTCTTATTTCCATGAAAAATGAGAAATAAAACTATGTTTTTTCACCACTTGTATCTGTATCAAACGAGTTTATTGTATTTCACTGGAGTTTTTTCCCAACATAAATCGTTATTTTTAACACGTCGACACGTGTTTCAATCACCAAGTGGTCATCTTCAGTTCAATCTTCCCCTTGAAGATGATAACTTGGTGATCGAAACACGTGTTAAGGTGTTGAAAATAACGATTTGGTGTTGGGAAACAACTCCAGTAATATTCATTACTACACCAAAGGTTCCAAACAGTGCATCACGAGTTTATTATATTCGTTTAAAAGTGTTCTTATAGGACTAAACAGCCGTAACGTTATTAACAAACACAAGTTGTAAGTAAAAAACAAAGTTTTATTTCGTATTTTTCATGATCTCCTACCACATATTAACGGCTACATCCATCAACTTCTCATTTCCTATTTTGGCCTAAGCTGCCAGGGCTATCCGGCATTGTTCATTATTTTCATTTTCTTACCATAAAGTGTTCATTTGCAATTAATGGTGAACTGGGGCCTGGTTCTCGATTCTGAGGTCGTGAGTTTGAACCCATTTTCCATTTGACATTTTTCTTGCCAGTATATACCCAGTTGAAGCAGTGTTTCTTCTGCTATAATAGGGGAGCCCAAGCGGGGACTTACTACAGCGCGACAGATTAATATACAGGGGGATACCTTGTACCCGGTTAAGTACCTCCACCAAATATGAGCCCCATATATAAGGGGTGCTCGAGTAAATCCCCATTTTGCATTGTGGGCTCCCCTGCTATATGTTACTTGGCTGAATGGATATGATGTTTCCTTTGTGTAGTTATTACCATAAATGGTCTCTGAACATGACGCTAATAGCCATATGAGTAGACTTACATGATTACAAGAATTGCAATGAGTTTGCCCTGTTGGTTTTAAAAAAATTGTGATTTTTAGGTTCATGGAACTGCTCCAGACATTGCTGGACAGGACAAGGCCAACCCTACAGCCCTTCTGTTGTCTGCAGTAATGATGCTGAGATATATGGGATTGAACAGTCATGCATCCAGAATCGAACAAGCATGTTATGAAACGATCAAAGAAGCCAAATTCCTAACAGGAGACTTGGGCGGAAAATCTAAGTGTTCCGAATTCACCAACGAGATTTGTGAGAAAGTTGTTAAACTGTAGATGAATATCCAGATTGCAGTGGGTACATGATAGTGTGTTGTTGATGATAATTTTAAGAGTCAACTGTATATACTTCAAACGTTGTGTATAATGTTACCTGTGAACTTTTTTAAAATTGATAGACATGTAAATATGAATTATCTACGTTTATTTGTGGACATGAGGGCTTTACATTTTTTGACGTTCACCTTCGAAGCTGTGACAGTATTTTCTTTTAGTTATATTTTTATATTTTATCTTCCGTCAAAGTTACCTAACGATATTTTTTTTTAAGTTAAGCACAGGTTTTCATAGATCATAGATATTTATATATTTAATTTATTCGTGTCGTCCAAAAATTCAATTAAAACATGTATTTATTGATTATTTCTTTGTGCCCATTTCACGGAAAAATTTCAGTGATCAAATATCTGAATAATTATAATCAACGAAATCTAGACTGATAGGAATAATTTCTCAATAATAACAAGGACATGTTTGAACAAATCAAGCCGTTTATGTTCTGCATTGAAATTATTTTCGAGTATTCGTAGCCTAAAATGTCATTACAAGGTGGATGAAGTACTTTGTTGAACTTTGCGTCGGGAACTACATGTTTTGAAGTTCGGGTGTGGGGCTTTTCATTGCCAATGGTGGAGAAACTAAGTCAACCACAGAGAATTCGATCCTTGAATATCAAAGATGAACGAGTCTCCCCAAGGCGGCCAGTTTGAAAGCCAAGCTAAGACATCAACCTTCTACCAGATTCGTCATGTCTTTCACTGCTAGGGGACTAGTTCAAAACCAAAAGCCAAAGACAAGCATTCATGATTCAACAGGCCTCTATCCAAGTTCTCAGTCGTTCCCATAGATGGCATCACCTCCGGTATTTCGTCAATACCATGAAAGTGCCTTGGGTGATAATAGAGCACTCTTAGGGCACCGTTATGTTGATGGATATAAGCTGAGGCTGGACACGCTGACAGCAAATGCATTAGGATCTCTCGCGGAGGGCCCTGCATCTTGTGTCAGGAATTTCTATACCTAGGACCTTTGATAAACCAAGGTCTTGAATGTAATTTTGTTGCCGCAGGAGGAAGTGAAATCTGCGACTTTTCTGTGTGATATTTTGAATATTAGTATGATTATGAAAATGTTATGTGGCTCTCAAACGCCTTCTTGCTGTGTAATGATATGTTGGAAGGTAAATTTTATCATATTTTGCAATGTTGGCGTTAGCTAAAACAACGAATGACAGATGACAAAGCAATCACTGAGTTTACATACCTGGTCTACTGCGCCGAAGGTAAGCAAAGGCCATAAAAAGAGAAGAAGAGTTTTCACATAGATTTCAAAATTCCCCGGTGTGTTGAATGTATTAAGTGTCCTCTGTGATTTTCATCTTTCTCCGAATCGTTAGAACTTGAAAATAACACTTGAGAATCTGCCAGCTCAGTATTCATTTACGATTATTGTAAGATATATTGATTAGAGAATATATGATCGCAGTGTATGTTTCCACTTCGAAAATAATTTATCCATCGACTATTAACAAACCCAATTAACAAAACAATCTTATCCAATGCACTGGGTGTGACGTTACTTTTATATATATTCCATATAAACCCAATATATGCAACAAGTGAAACATCGTGACATATCTGTCGTCAGGTGTATAAGTGACGTAAATGCCAAGACTTAAAATTCTCTATCTTTCTTAGTAGTTGGAGCCAGTATTCTCTCTTCAATGGCCAGTCCATATTTATTATTATGTCACTGGTAACCAACAATAACCTATTTTACAGGTAATTACTGTCAAAAATTTCAGTTAGCGACAGCGACTGTCAAGAAGTGGTTGTTTTTGTATGAATATTGAATTATACATTTTTTCATTTGAAGATAGAGAAGTCGAAGGCCAAAACCTTTTTTTCCCAAAAACTATTTTTTCCTAAAATTGTACCCCTTTTCAATGACATGAGGTTCAGAAGTAATTTGAGACAGTTGCAGCTTGGCTCCTGTGTTTGTGAAAGGAAAATTGGAAATTCTCAACAGCTACCTATTATACATTGATATATTTAGTATGTACACCCAATTTCCGGGAAATTTTCCAGGATTACTGAAATAGTTGTGGGGAACTATAGTAAAGCTACATTAATCATTTCTTGGGATATTTTAGACTCGGATTGTTTGAACGAATATGAATTATGAATAAGATCAGGTTACTTATGATGTATTGTTTGGAACCTTTGGTGTTGTAATGAATATTACTGGAGTTTTTTCCCAACACCAAATCGTTATTTTTAACACCTCGACACGTGTTTCGATCACCACGTGATCATCTTCAAGAGGAAGATAAAACTCAGGTTAGGTTAAAAGGTTTGGATTGGTTGGAAAACTTTTATAGTGGAGTCAGAATTTCCAAATAACATTGTAGAAAGTGAGGTTAAGATTTTTTCCCCACCAGAGCTAAGTTACAACTGTCGCGAGACACTAATTGCCTACCATTGTTATTTATTTTGTTTTGATGCAATAAGTCACAAGTCATACTCAAAAGTCACCTCGATATGTATTTGTAGATTCCGTTTATAGTGTTATAGCCTACCGAGACTTTACTTTTTGTCAAATCAGTCATCAAAATTTCAGTGATAAATAACAGCATTTTTCTGTTCCGACTTAATTACGCGTATAATCATTATTTCACTTCAGAATCACAATTTTCACAAGCAAACTCGCAGATAATCCTTGGTGTTTTTTAATTGCGTCATGACATTCAAACCTTGACTTCTGAAGGATTTTGAGTACCTCTAACTTTTAGCAATTTATTATTGATGATTGGGGTCTGAAGTAGTGACGATAAAAGTTATTATTGTGTTCCTTGGTAGTTAAAATGAGTAGTGTTAGATGCAGTCTCACAGTAGGAAAATATGCCTTCGTGACTAGGAATACAAAGTTGCAGCATGGTAAGTATTTATCTATTATTTTTTGGAAGGTAATTTTGTCCAAATTATTACCCAGTCAAAGAAAAGGTATTTTACATTTTGGAGGACAAGAAGTCCTGGGGTATTCAAAGACATGTTTTTCAAAAGGCTTAAGGAAACTGAAGGAAAACAAATAAACATATTAACCATTACTCTACCTATGTTGGGTTTGAAATATTGCTTGTAGGTTCTTTTCGTAGAGAACTTTCCTTCACTTTTAAAGAATCATTTTATTTCTTCAGAAGCTGTATTCTTTATTAAATGTAAAAGTATTGCAAAAAAGAAATCCAACATTTTTGAAAACAACTAAAACTGAATGAAAGTAAAACGGTTCATTTCGATCCCCCATATCGATCATGTCCGCAAAAAAATTAATGTAACAATGTTTGCTATACGACAGATCAGAGAAGTGCTTAGTTTAGATGGTGTTAGGACTCATTGGCTTAGGTACTCATATAAGGCTCAAAATATATTAATGTAGGGGCAAACCGTGTTTTTATTTTTCAGAAAAGATTAACTAGAACTATTTTTAATATTGCACACAGGGATAGTTGCAGACCTGTTTTCTGTAAGAACAAAATGGTAACGTTACCGTGTATCTATTTATACAAAGCTCTGTTCCACGTGAAATATAATGTGCCCAATCTAAGACATGAATCAATTAATCATAACTATGCAACATGAAACAGATATGTATTAACTATTCCAAAACATAAAACATTGACATTCAAGAAATCACTTGCATGTAATGGCATATTATTTAATACGTTGCCTCAATTTATTGAAGAGCTACGTATTATACCATTCAAAAAACAAATAAAGGAGCTATCAACTAATAAGGGATATTATAGCGTAGACGAATTTTTAGAAAGGGATACACCATTTTGATGAATATTGGTTTCACTGCATTTCTTTCACCTTAGTTAAAGGTTGATTGACTTTTATGTATATATAGGTGTATATTAATGTGTTTTTTATTTTCTATGTATAGTTAAGTACCTGTGGAGCATTATTATTTAAATTTTTTTATTAATGATATGTCTGATATAATGTAAATGATCGAAAAGACGAATAAAGTTATTATTATCATTAATTAATTTGTATATAAATAAAAGGTCAGCGTTTTCTCTTCTTCTGCTCAAGAAGTCTAGGTTGAGACTGTTCAAAAGATTTGTACAATCGTGATTGTCGTTTTATAGTCACATAATCTCAGGAATTTATGTTGGACCCTTTCCAATGTGACATGGTGATTTGTATCAAATTGTGACTAAATAATCGAGCCAAATTCTGAGCGGGAGACTATTAAGACAAGACACTTCGTTCTCACTGAATTCATTGATGATAGTTTGCAGTTTCGTAATATTAAGCCCAGTAGATTTGATGTATTGACAGCAATATGATTTATATGTCTACAAATCGCAATTGCTCGTCAAAGATAACTACTAGATCCTTTATTGTAGTGACACGTGAGATGAGGAATTTTCTATTTACTTTGTTGAAGTGATAAAAAGTACATTTGCCCATGTTCATGTGTGAATTGTTTTCAATACACCACCTATCCAAGCTATTTAAATCATGTTGTAATAGATTAACATCGTCTAAAGATTTTGTTGATCTGAAAATTTTAAGGTCATCTGCAAACATTAGAAAGTATGAATTTTCAAACCATTTTGTAACGTTATCAACACTGACATTGAACAGAAGAGGTGCACAATGAGATCCTTGAGGTACTCCCGACGTTATATGAATGATATCCTGACCTAGCATTTCCTACCCCCATTTGCTGAGATTGGTCAGGCATGAAGCTTTAAAACTAGGATAGATACAGATCTGTGAAACCAAACAATCTTATGTAATATGTTGTGATCCACTCGATCAAATGCTTTAATATTTTGCTCAAACACCAAAAGGTTGGTAACTGTAGACTTTTTTATAGAAAAACTATGTTGATTATTATTGAAACGTTCTTTACAATAAAATTTCAACGGATCAGTTATCAAGCTATCGATGCCATTTTAAAAAAATCTGTTTGTCCGTTAACCAGCCGTTGTCCCTTCAATAGTGGATACTTGTGCGAGTTGGGTGTTAAAGACCTGATTGAATGAGTGGATTTTGCAATTGAATCAAAACTCCTGTCAACTCAGTGCGGGGTTCTTGAATACGTTGGTGTAGACTCTGTGACAACTGGTTACTCAACACCGTGTTTTGTTTTTGCAATGTATCCAAAATAAACATGTTATGTTCAAATTTATAAGCGTTGACTCTCGCTTACAGAGTGCCTCAATTCCCAATATTAAAGGTTGCAAACTTCAAGAAGATCTTCCTCTTGAAGATGATCACTTGGTGATCGAAACATGTGTCGAGGTGATAAAAATAACGATTCGGTGTTGGGGAAAAACTCCAGTAATATTCATTGCTACACCAAAGGTTTCAAACAGTGCAACACAAGTAACCTTCATATCTTTAATATATCAGTATAGCTTGACCTTGTTATCTTATTAATTTGAAACTATTCTTATAATTTACTTTCAATCCACTACATGGCCTCCTATATAGCATTGTAATGCTTTTATTCAAATTGGGCCTGCCCATATATTCATTGCAGATAATATGTGTGATATAAAAAGATTTTCATTGGATTTTTCACAGCGCACTCAAGCATTATATGAAAAGAGACGTAATTATTTCTTTATTGATAATTTTTATTTTATGTAAAATCAAAAGGAATATTAATCAAAATTATTCAACTGGATGAATTTGTCTCTTCATCAGTAGTGTCATCATCACCAATCTGAATTATCAGTGGCTAGATTTGTTATCAAGCTTCAACATCTTTGTCTCGACTTCCGATATCACATGCCAAACACACTTCTCCTATTTCTCCACTGTGACTCTTTTCAAAGTCTCATCAAAAAGTACTTTGAGATCTGCAAATTTGAACGTGGTGTTATGCTGAGCTACAAAATTCTTCACATCCGCCCATATTAACTCGATGGGATTGAGCTGTCAGTGGTATGGAGGCAGGCGAAGGACAATTTTGTTTTGGCCTGCTGCCATCTCATCGACTATATATTTTTAGTATTCAAGCTTGCGCTACTTGACAATTTTTAGTAGCTGTACTCTTAGCATTGAGTCTTCAAAGCGAATATTCTTTGATCGCAGCCTATTTTGGATTTCAACCTTCTTTGAAGACGTTGGAATCTTCTCTAACCGTCGCGAATGATAAGGTGCATTGTCCATTACAATCACAGCATTATCCTCCAGATGGGGTAGAACTTTGGAAAACCACTGTTCGAAAGATTCACCGTTCATTTCTTCGTGATAATCTCCAGTTGTCTTCGACTCGAAACACCACAGCTACATTTTAATGAACTGTACTACTACTTATAGTACTAAATAAAATATGAAAAGAAATTGCAAAGAAGTCTTGTTCCATTTGCTATCCTAATTAAAAGTAATTATAGGTACGACACTGGCCGGCAAGGGATCGTACTCCAATGGCACTAACGTTAGTTACAAATAAAAGTGGAAAAAACATACTAATAAAGTGGGAGAATTCCGTCCAGTGAACACCTTACCAGGAATGGAGAAACTACTAGAAATGGCTGTATACGATCAGCTACTAAGTTATGTTGAGGCCAATAATATCCTCATAAGTAATCAATCCGGTTTTAGGAAAAATCATTCTTGTGAAATGCCTTTACAACTTACGATTAGTAAATGGACTCAATCTATTGACAACGGAGATTATGTTGTAACAGTATTCTTAGACTTAAGAAGAGCTTTTGAGACATAAAAAATTAAGTGAATTCAGTTGTCTTGAGAAATATTTATTTCTTCACCAATTTCATTTTGTGTCATTCAAAGTAGCCCCCTTCAAATATACACTTGGGCCAGGTTTTTTTCCAATCCTAAAAGCAATCGTCGCAAAATGCCGTCTTTTCAAGTGTTTCTTCAATCTTGAGAACAGGAAAAGTCACAGGAGACCAAATCTGGTGAATACAGTGGCTGAGGCATGATTAGTTGGTAAAAACGCTTCAAAAACAAATGGTATACCCCAGAACTAGAACTAGCTATGCGAGTCTGAAATAAGTAAGAAATAAGCAAAATGTCAGCATGCAAACAATAGAATAAACTCAGCCCCAAATAAAATCAAAGAAACATGGAAAATTAATGATGTATTTTCAAACAATGACTAGTTTTACATTGTTTTCTATGCGTGTTTTCTTATTTTTAATGTTGTATAATGCCTTTCATTTATTTTGTATTTCTTTATTATATCGGGTAAAATGGGTTTTGAATCCATGAATGAAAAATATTGAACAAATAAAATAGCTGATGCATCAACACATTTGATGGCAGGAATGTTCCTGAAATTGAATATTGACTTTGTTAGCTCTTCAATAATAGTGAACGGTTGAAATTTGTATGCATTCGGTTTCAAATATACTCATGAAAAAATCTGACCGTGTAAGATATGGGGGACGAAGAGTCCACTATGATACCGTATCCTAGAATATATTGTTTGTGAAATATGTGTTGGGATGATGATGGAATTTTGTTACAGGCGAATGTCAGATGGACTCTTTCTCAGATGCTGCAGAGAAATGGCAAAAAAGTATCCGGAGGTTAGATTCGAAGAAAGATATCTGGATACGGTCTGCCTCAACATGGTCCAGGATCCTACCCAATACGATGTACTAGTCATGCCAAATCTGTACGGTGATATTCTGTCTGACATGTGTGCCGGGCTTGTTGGAGGATTGGGTCTCACGCCATCTGGAAATATTGGTCTCAATGGAGCTTTGTTTGAATCGGTAATTTTGGTTAAATAATTAACTATGTTATTTTTATTGTAGTGACTTGAATTTTTTTCATGATTCAACATTTTGAACATACTGGACAGACAAATAGATGGATAGATAGATTCTTGTGATAGATCAATCTCCAGATATCAATAAATCTGGAAATTCCAGTTTATTTGTCGGCTCTTCCTTATCCTCCTCCAGTTTTTCCTCTTCTTGGCAATATGAAATAATTTTTTTCTCTAGCATTCTT